GTCGAGCCCTGCATTAGGATTATTTAAGTAACGTTTTGCAATAGTGCATTTTGTATAAAACAAACTTGACTTCACAGCTCCGTTATTGTTACTGTGTAGTTTTGCTCATATAGCTCATCTATTTCAGCCTCTAACACTCGGAAATCTTGAGTTCACTTAAAGGGGTCCTATTATGCTTTTTCACTTTTTGAATTTTAGTCAGTGTGTAGTGTGTATGTTTGGGCATAAAAAAGATCTTCAAACTTACAAATCTCAAAGTCCACTCCAAAGGGAGATATTTCGTTATTTTAAAAATCCCTTTTCAAGAACTACAACGAACGGCTCATTTGGACTACAGCGTTTGTTTTCCGGGTTTTGTGATATCACAAAACGGCCCATTAGAATATCATTAAAATAATTCCCGCCTACGGAAATTCGAATGGTTGGGGGGTGGGGAGGGGCGAGGTCGTGTTTAGAACGCTTGGTTGTGTGCATCAGACAAGACGACGACGAAGAAGTGCTGCTGTAGCCTCAAGTTTTCGCAAGTTATTACACATGCACCTGAATAATTATGTATGTAAATACTGTATGTAACTTACAATTATGAAAACGTTTTTATGATAAATTGCTGACAGTACAATACTGGACAATGTTCCAACAGCGCCTCCTGCTGGCAGAGAATGAGTTTGCATATATATGCCGCCTGGGAAACACTGAACTATGGTATAAATAAATTCACTGTATAACAGTTTCACTGCAATTCGTGTTATAATGTTAGAAATAAATAACAATAAAAATAATACATATGCACTTATCTGTACATAGTAAATGCAGTTATTTTTAAGCTGTTGTTGAGATCCCATCTAAAACTTGATTTAGCCAAAAAAAAAAACAACAACAATAACGATACCACTCTAATATGTCTTGCAATATCCATGCGTGCAAAGGTTCTGCGCGATCTTCTTGTTCAATATTCTCTGGGTCTGAATCCGGCTCAAATTGATACGGCAATATTGACGCTATCCTTAACTAAACCGGAGCAGATGGAACTTGCTGCTTTGGCAAGGGGCGGGGCAGTACTGAAACACGGTCTAAGCTGTTCGCCAATCACAATGCACTGGGACAGCTAACCAATCACATCACATTTCATTTTTCGGAAGGCGGGCGTTCATCAAACCCGGAACTAATCGAGCCGTTTGTGCCAGACTGGGGAGAAAGGTATTGTAATAATGTAAATTATGTAAAAAATAATGCATTTTTCGAACCACCAAGCATGAGAGCATGTTCTAGTACACCCCCAAAACAAATTCAAGACATTGTAAAAGAGCATAATAGGA